TCTCTCTCTCTCTCTCTCTCTCTCTCTCTCTCTCTCTCTCTCTCTCTGTCTCTCCCCTTATGCCGGTCCGTCTATATGTCTGTCTGTCATTTTCTTTCCTTTTCCCTTTATATATTTGCACGCATGCGTTTTTCACTTATTTAAAATACGACTTCTCCGCGACGTCGAATTTAAACGAAACTACATAACATTTCTATTATGCATTCATAAGCAAAAAATATATTTTGTTTTATAATTCTTTGAAGCCTGTCTATGCATTTATTCAATGATTACGAGTGTAATTATTTCCCATATATATATATACAGATCTATATATATATATATGTATATGCGATTCTTATAAATATTTTCGTATATTAACTATTTCATTTGATTTGCAACAGGTATAAATACGCTCTTCATTAATTCCATATAAATTCGTAAGAGGTCATTGCGATTAGCAGGCCGTCTTCTCACACTACGCTATACCATCTACTGTATTAAAACTAATTAAAATATCTATCTCTACCTTTAATAATTAACTATTTAGAATTGTAATTATTTCAAAACCATTTATATTTATTTCTTTCATAAAGAAATGGGGAGACAACAACTACAAAGTCGCTTATAAATTTCATTAATTTCACTCCACATGCACAGCAAATTAACAAATTATTAAGACGATAAATGTCATTTTAGTTATTTTTAGAACTGGTTGTGTAGAGAGTAAGAGAATTTTCAGCTGTCGATAAATCATGCATTTTTCGTACTATCTTTCCATCGTAAAATTGCTATCTAATACGCTTGCTGATTTAAATGATGGTCGAGTTTACACTCACTATAAATCGGATCCTGATCAATATATATATATACGAAATTCCATATACACCGAATAAGCATCGCGCTTGAGATTTGAGTCCATGGCCATTGAGTTCTTCGTCGAGATCTTCTGTGCTACTCGGCCATTCAACCGCATAGTATAGATTAATGTCATCACATCACTTAATAAGTCTGCTTTCTGACATTGTACACATTCGAAGTGAGTGTCGCGTTTGTTTGCCCACTTTTCACTAACAAGAATAAAGTGCTGATCATTCAGATCGCTCTTTGGCCGACTATTTGGCAGTGGATGAAACATGGGTTCATTCACAGTTCAGTCAGCCAAGTTGACAAATTTCATGTAATCAGGCATAAAATTTTTGAACTTTCCGATTGAAATCATTGATTACATCAATTTGAAGAATTCTAGCGAAATGTGATGAAGACGTTCAAATCAAAAATTTGTAATAACATCTCAGTCCAATTGGCTTTTGATTCTCTTGTACCGGAATATAGTCGTAAAAGTAGAAAACCGCACGCATCCTTAGTGAGCTCTTAACTAATACAACAGTCAATAAATTTGTAGCGCAAGGTGCTCTGGTATCAAAGTTCCGAAGGGATCGGAAAAGTAGTCCCACTAGAGCAACTATAACTTCAAATTTAATGATCGAAATGTCAAGAAGTTTATATATATATATAAACAAGCTAAGCGTGGTAGTCCTAAATTGATTATGATTGACGTCACGATGTCGTAGGTTCGATGTTTTTAAAAATACCTTTTAGTGAATTAAAAGGTGAAAGACAAATTTTTTTTTGACAATAAATAGCGCATGGGCGCCAAAGATCTCAACGGTGCTGGGTAGGAGAGACTCGTTCCCAGCCGAATATAACTTTCTTACTTGCTTTTTGTTATTGTTGTGTGTTGGTGTAAGCATGTCTACAACATACGTTGACATTATCCGCCATTTTTGAAAGATACACATGTTCAACATGTTTCAGTGTGCTTGTGCGATTTTTTATTATCTAAAGAAGTGAATCAGCGAATGTGTATTAAGCTTTGTGTGCAACAAAAATAAAATCGAGGGCTACAATTCATTTAAAATGTTGGTTCTAGCATTTGGCGAATCCATTTTAGGAAAAATCATGTTTATGAGTGTTACACGGTCTTCGCAGATGGCCGAGAAGGTGTTCATGATGATCGCCGTCCTGGACGCCACAGCAACAATCGACGAAAAAGTTAAAGCAGTGAAGAAATCGTTATGTCGGCATATCGGTTGTCTCATGCCACGCAATTTTTTCAGGTATTTTGGGCATCAGACGTCATGAATACTGCGCCGTAATAACACGCCAGGTCATTGCATGCTCATAATTTTTTGGGCAAAAGGCCTGTGAAAGGACGGAGTTTTGGTAAGATGAAGGAGATAAAGATCGCGCCGCTGGAAGTACTCAAGGCGATACTATAAAGCGCATATCATAAAGTGCTTCGATGATTGAAAAAAATTCTGGCTTAAGTGTTGGTATTATATCTAAGGCGAATTACTTCGAAGCGAAGAAAATAGGTATTGACGCATAAATAAATATTTTTCGAGTAAAATGAAAAGTCACTTTTTTTGCAAGCATCTCGCATTTCATATATTGTCTAAAAAGTATTGAAACATTAGGAAAGTAAAATTTTTTATGAAATTATTTTATCTATTTAATTTACACTTAAAAGCTCAGCTTTTTAGATAGATTATTTATGTGATAGCGATATCTTCTATCTATAACTCTATGACAATCTTAAAAATCCGATTTAAGGACGATCTTCCGTATATATTTTCAATATATTAAATGGAAACGCCAAAATATTCGATATGTGGCACATACTTCATAATGTTCTTACCGACTTTAACGTTGGTATAATAATTTTTGTTTTTGTTATACAAATAGAAAAAAAAAAAAGCGACATTAGTTAAGTTTATGACCAATAAAAGTTTATTACAATTTAAAAAAAATCTTATGTCAAGTCAGGCTATTTGCTAATGTGTTATTTTTACATGTTCTTCTTCTTTTTATGTATGCTTATGTGTGCGTTTATTTTTTAGCCCACTGAAAATCATGGTTCTTCTACGTTGGAAGATAGTTGGTGTTGGGAGCCCGATAACTCCAAATCACCCGATAATGATCGCAGTTCAGAGACTTCGAGTGGTAATAGCCATGAAATGGTTAACATTACTTTGGAAGAGATACCCTTGGGTGCTTCGGCAAAATCTAGTAAAGCGCGTTGCCATCGTTTGGGTACGGGCGCGACAATTCAAAATGCTGAGCAGCATAAACGCTTACAACATCTGGAGGAGGAAAACAAACAACTGCAAATGTCTTTGGAAGAGCTAGATAGCCAACATAATCTGGCCATGCAAAACGTATTGGAATTGAAAGCGAATTTACAAGAGCAACTCTCTAACATTAACAATAATTATGAAGGGTTGAAGAAAGACTATCAACAGCAGTTCACAAGCTCTGAGCTAGAAATTGGTAAGCTTCGTAAAAAAGTTGAATTATTAGATGGAGAGAAGCAAATCGCTTTAAATGATAAGAGTAAGCTTGCTGAACGTTTAAAAAATTATGAGCTAGAATTGAAAGAAAGTGTGAGCGGAATGTCCGATTTGCAAAAGTTACTCGACAAGAAATCTAGCGACAATGTTGAATTAATTGAACGGATCAAAGAGAGCGAAGAGAAGTGTAAGAAGACTATGGAAGACAATGAAAAGCTATTCAAAAAGTTTAACGATCTATCCAAAGAGTTTGAAGAATTCAAAATGAATGATAAAAAGACGTCAGAATCTTCAGCTAGTTCGTCGGAGAAACAAAGTGAAGACGAATTTATTGTGGTACGTGATGGCGGCGACAATTCTCCTGATCCGGCAACGCCGCCTACGAAGGAGGATCTTAAAGATAAAATTGTTCAATTAGAGAATAAAGTTTCAAGTTTGCGTTCAGAAAATGAAAGTCTAACATTGAAAATTCAGGATCAGCAAAAAGCAAGTGATTGTACTTCAAACAAGTTAATTGAAAAACTCAAGGTTAAGGATGAAGAAAACGAGAATCTGGCTGAAGAGTTACGTATGTTGGCCATAGGCAATGAAGAAAAACAAGATCAGCTTGCATCTTTGGAAGCAAAGATGGCTGAGTCCGTTTCGGCTTATGAGACTTTAGATGAAAAGAAGTCAAAAATTTGCAACGAATTGCAACAAATAAAAGAAACTTTTAGTCAGCAAAATCATTTACTAGAAGCCGAGAATAAAAGTTTACAAAACGAATTGCAAAATTTGAAAATCTCCCAGGCTCGTATTAATGAATTGGAGCAAAGATTGCAAGCAATGACTTTAGAGAATCAGCAGTTGAAGCTTAACGCCGAAGCTATTACTGAAACATCATTTAATCTTAATGAGGACATGGAAGAAAAGCTTAAATTATTAAGCGAAGAAAATGCTAATCTGAAATCGGAAATCTTAAGGATAACCGACTCGAACTTTAAACGAGCCATAGCCGAAGAGAAGCAAACAATAACTGATTTGGATGAAGACGAAGAAGATCAAGAAGACGAATTGGATATATTGTATGATAAATGCAAAAACATCATAAAAGCGCAAAACTTTATGGGAGAACCGGCTTTAGAAGAAATGCAAAAACTGTATAACATACTTAGAGGTAAACTCACGAAAGCGCACGATGTAGAGAAAAATTTAACTCGGGTATCAGTAGAAATTCTTGATTTACAAGATAGCAAATTAGTTTGGGATCATGAAAAGAAAACATTGGAGGCGGACATTTCTCAATACATATTACAGTGCGATGAGCTTATGAAGAACAACGAAATTCTACTTAATGAATTGGAGAATTACAAACGTCACAAATTGGAAACAATATCGGAAAATAACGAGGAGAATATTGTACAACTGGAAACGCAATTGGAAGAATGTAATAAATTAAATTTGACCTTAGAACAAGAATATAATGAACTCCATAGGCGTATTGAGGAATTGGAAAAGGAGAAGCAGCAACTTAACGAGAAATTAAGAGAAATTCAAATTCATAACGAGAAGTTCATGATTAAGGAGAAAGATCTAAATTTACAAATCGAGACCTTGGAATTAGAAAAATGCAATATATTGCTTGAATTAAATGATATCAAAATGAATACCGATAAAGGATCAGAGCGTCATAACACTTTGCAAGAATGTGAAGAGAAATGCCACGATTTGGAGAGACAACTTTCCGCTTTGGCTAAAGATCATGCCGATCTCGTAATTGCCTTGCAAACACAGAAAGCAGCATTTGTTGATGCCATTAAGAAGCATGAGCAAACATTTAACGAAAAACAGTTATTGGAAAATCAATGTAAAGAATTGCAAAAAACGCTGTTCGACAATCAGGAAGAATGCAAGCGAGAGCTTATGGCTAAAGACATTGTGATTGAAAGTTTGAAACAAGATAGCACAAGCTGGGCAAAAGAAAATGATATATTAAAAGCTGACAAACGCTCCTTGAACAATAAAATTGATGAGCTGCATCAGCAATTGCTGGCGAGCGCTGACAAAGAACAAATTTTAAATACCCAAATAGAAATGTTAAGTGAACAGCAAATTAGTCCCGAAGAAGTTGATCATTTAAAAGCCGAGAAACGTAAAATTGAAGATCAGTTTTATAATCTGGAACAAGAGTTGAAAAATTCTAAAACTGAAATTCAAATGCTAAAGGAAAAATCGATCGCTCATTCTCTTGGTGATATCAGTCAGGCCATTTCGCATGCAAAGCAAGATGCCAAGCTATTAGATACAGCAGATATGCAAAAAAATTTGGAAACTTTAACATTTGAAAAACAAGAATTTATTAAAGCACTACAACAAAAACATTCCGAAAATATGCAATACTATATGGAAATTCAACGTTTGACAATAGCTTTGCAGAACGCACAACAGCGCCAGCAAGAAAATGAGAATAAATCCTGTGATAAATGCCCCGCATTAGAAGCAACCGCCAATGAATTGAAAAAAGAACAAGAAAAACTGAAAGATCAAATAAATTTCCTTAAAGAAAAATCAGACATATTAACTACAAATTTATTAACTGAACAAACAAATCAAAAGCTAATGCAACAAGAGAAAAATGATGTTTTAGAACAAAATGCTACTTTACGCAAAGATCTGGAACGTTTGCGCGGTCACCTACTGGAGATCGAAGATATGCATACGCAGGAGACGATGGAAATGCAAAATGAACTTGAAACTACAAAAGAAAGAATGTTAACATTGGAGGAAGAAGTGTCTAAATCAAACAATGCATATACCTCGGCAAGGTAAGTAACAATAATATAACAATAATATAACAATACATAACGAAAATTTGCAGTAATTGCTTTGTTCATACGTAGTAAGGAAAGTAAGGATATCATTAACGGCAATAGTAACGATATGATAATCGTTTCGCAGCGAATCTGAACGCAATATACAGAAACTGTATAGTATTTTAATTATAGCAGACATGTCGAGACGCGCTAATCGTTGGGCGAGGACTTGTAACTGACTCTTTATGTAAATATATGTAAAAAAACTTTATATCATTATTTATTGTAGGGCGCGTTGATCTATTACATGCCAACAATTAATTAAAACTAATTTTTAACTTGAAATAGAACCAGTAAAAAAAATAATGTGGGCCTGTAATGTCCACAACTAAATATCGTACATCATTTATTAACGCAATACGCCGTTATGCGGAAAGTGGTCGAAAACTTGGTCTGATTGGCACCATTTTCAAGCAAAAACACGTCAGACCTTACCAAAATATTATCAAAATATTCCAAAAATTGCGACTTGTAGACTGAACGCAAGAAAACAAGACAGATAGGCGGATGGTATTACAAGCTTGGATCAGATTCAGAAAGTTATTCTGAATCAGTCGGTACAATAAGAGATGGGTCTATCTCAAATCCTTCTGGGCGATGCATACATCCCCACTAAGTTAACGGGGTAAACGGCTGTAAATGCCTAAAAAAAAATACATTTTTAATGCCAATTTTAGATAGGGATAGAAGAAAAGGTAGCAGTACTCTGAAGTATTAGAACAAAAAAAAAAAAAAAAAAAAAAAAAAAAATTGGAAAAAAATTAAAAAATGGCGACACCGCAGCCATCCTCTTCTTGGGGTTTGTAAGGCACGCAGCATTAGTGGTTTTTAGAAATATTGTTTTTTGTGTAAGCGGAGAGTGTTTGAGCGAAAAAGTACAACTTTTCGAAAAAAAAAGGCGCTCTTTTATTAATAAAAAATGTTTACATGTATTAGCTTGGCGGGAAAACCCTACGTGTTTCGCTAGAGAATGCAAGTTTTAACGATACTGCAGTGTAGTGCTGGTGAAAAAAACTAAAAGTGTTTTGACTTATGCTACGTGCCCGTTTGTAAGATATATATAACAGATATGTTTTTTTAACCATCAAAAAGTTTTTGTTATTTCCCCTTGATCGACCACTTTTGGGTCATTATTGCCTCTTTTGCTGTATCTGCTTTATATGTTGCAAAATGGTGTAAAAAATGACAAGAAAATATACAATTCTATAGCCGAATCCATACAAAAGCCAAAAAATGTGGTCCCAAACTTTTGATTTGATTTTGTTAGAAGCCATCAAAGCGTCGGAATCGCTCTCAGCCTCATATCTACGTGCAGGTTACCCTGGTGATGCTACGCGAACAGATCTCTTCGTTGGGAATGCTTTTAATTGCACGTAAATACTTTCTAAACTTCTACTTCCGCTAGTGCACTAGAGGAGGTAGCAATCGTAAGGCAAGACATCAAGTTGCAATTCATTTGACACAAGTAGCGCTTCGGTGGTAGTTCGAAATTCTCAAGGAAAAATTTCTTTTGAGAATTCGAACTAATGAATTTTACCCCTACCCGTCTATTCTAACGAGTCAGGAAAGCACCAATTAATTAAATAGAAGAGAAATTGACTTTTTGAAAAATTTCCACCGTCTTACCCCTCATACATATATATATATATATATATATATATATATATATATATATATATAATATATACATGCATATATATATATTATCTATAAATTCTGTTTAAAACATGCATAAAGAGATCTTATAACGTCTAATAATATTGAATGTCCTAGCAAAGCTATATGGGTTCGTGTCTTGAAAAAAAAAAGCCCTCTAGATATTTATACTTGTAAATAAAAATAGCTCCTCTCATACATACACACAATTGATATGCATTAAAAAGGACGTACATAACTTCGTTGAGAAGGGTTCGCTGTGTGTCTTATGATGTTATTGTCATCTTTCAGCAATCACTGAATAAAATATGCATTTTGGGTACTTACTGCTTTCGCTTAGATATGCGTTGATTTGCGAATGCTCGACATTCGTTATCTGCAAATGCGTGAAGTGTACGTTGATGCATCACGTATGCATGCATATGTGTATGCAAACTTGAAAAAAGAAATAAAAACGGTGACCAATTTAAACTGTATAACACAACAACTAAGACCACGTATTAATGTGACTAATAGAAGTAACTAACCATTACTCAGTCTAGACGAAACAGCTGTCGAATGAAAACAACACACCTGTTTCAGGCTTTTGCAATTCTTAGAAAATTAATTGCAATTTTATCAGTTAATTATTTGAGAGCGAAAACCGTGAAAATTGCACTGTAGCCGTGAAACGAAATGAAATGCCTTGCGACCATATAGAAAAAAAAAAAATTCGTTTTATTTCATTGATAAAGTGAAGAGAAACAGAAAAACAAAAAAAAAAAAAAAAAAATGTCGTTAACTTTTAAAATTCTTATCGGCGTTAAATATTGATTTTTAAGGTTTTTGGAAAAAGGAAAACTATAAAAATTGTTGTTTTAATTAAATTTCATTCACCGGAACTTTTACATTTAATGCTATAAAAATGATTTGAAATTATAGCATACGAGCCAATCAGCATGCTGAAACATTGCAGGCGCAATATGCTTTGTTAGTCCAGCAGCGAGATGAGTTAGTCGCCAAATTGAGTTTGGCTGAAGATCGCGAATCGAAAAATCAAGCGGCTCTTACTAATCTTCAATGTGCGTTAGAGCAATTTCAAAATGGTAAATAAATATTTATAATATATTTCAAGTGAGTAAAATAATGACTTGACCGCATGAGATTTAATTGCAAAACCTATTGTGAAAAATCAAATTACGAATTGTGTTGTGTGTAATGTGATTTTTTAATTTTTTTATTTTTTATTATTATTAACAAAAATTCCTTTTAAGGACTTTTATACTATTTTATTTGTCTTTTGGCATTTGACATGGTTTTGTGAAAGTATTTAAATCTATTTTCTTCCATAGATAAAGAAAACGACATTAAGTTGGCCACGCAACGTTTACGTAAAGAATTGCAGCAACACTGCGACAAAGAGAATGAATTGCAAATCGAAATGCAACAATTGCAGCAGCAATTGACCGAAGCCAATCAAGGCTTGAGGGCCGCCTCTAGGCTATCGGATCAATTAGAAGCCAGCCAGCAAACGGTAGCAGTATTAAGAGAAGAGGGTACGTTGAACGTTTCATTTCGCTTTAATAATAACATGAATTGTAAATAATGCATAGCACCCACCAAGTGAACTAACAAACTTCGCATCCAGTTTTTGTTTCTTCTTTTAAATAAGTTTTCCTTATTTATTTTAAAACAGAAAAAAGAAAAAGTCGGGTCACACAGTATAAGCACTACTGCTCTTAATAATATATAGTACGCGGCACTAGATTTGTTTTTTTTTTTTTTTTTTTTCTTGTTGCTTTCGTGTAAACGAAAATTGTTATTAACAATGAAAAGCATGTTAACAGCGTTCACTCTCTCACTTTCCAAAAAAAAAAAAAGTGTACATTTTTTTTTTTTTTTTTTTTTTTTTTTTTTTTTTTTTTTAAGAAAACGTATCAAATCACCATTTATATCATCACACAGTTATTTTTCTAAATGAAAGAATTCTTAAAAATAAATATCAGCTGGTAATTCTGGGATATTTATAACTCGGAATTTCAGTTGGTATAAATTTTTCTGAATTAATTTTTTACATCATTATTAAAATATATAACAAAAAGAGCGAATTCTTCAAAAAAAAAAAAAAAAAAAAACAGAAAAAAAAAGGAAAAAATTATATAAATTGTGCTTTGGAAGAAAGATGCAAAACTAATTTTTTACATTATTTTTTTATTAATTTGGTATTTATTTTTTTATATATATATTTTTTTAATTTTTATTTATTATGATTTTTGCATAGTCGGTATCGGTTGAAAGTAACCTTGTTTTCGTCATAACAACACATACATATATTAACAGTTCAGCTTTTTCATTAACGATGAAAAAATGAAATCAAATTTTTGAACATTCGGTTTTCAGCTATAGAACACTTAACGGAGCAGGTCGAAGAGGTTTTTTTTTTGTTATTTATTTATTTATTTTTTTTTTTTTGATGGAAAAAACAGTAATAGAATAATAGTATTCGAGGAGTGTATCAACTGTACCCTTAAATACTGAAAAAAAAATTTTTTTTGAGAGACATATTTAAAAAAAATTGCAAAACCGTGGTCATTCTCGCGATGCTCTGTGATATCGGGCCTGCATTGGTACGAACTCAAATCAAAAACCAAAAAAAAAACCGTTTAATTACACACCAATAGCTAGAGAAGTATATAAGTTTTCGTGTTGCAAAATATTTATTTTGGTGTAATGGGCGAGCGCTAGAGTGAAAAAAATGTTTAAAAAAAAAATGTTAATGCCGAATATCATTTTAACGATACCGGAAAGAAAATCGTATGAAAACAATGAAAATTTGTAGGAGCTATTCGTATGGCCCCGACTATCCAAAATTGTATTTCGAGAAAAGCTTGTTTGAAGTCCCAACTGCCCGTGTACTGACCATGAAAGGTTATATTTAAAAAGTTAAATCTTCTAATCACTTCCAGAATTGGCTTTGATATGTCGATTCAAAAAATTTGATATTTTCGGTAAATTTTCAATGGCGTGTCAACCCTCTTGGCAAAAGGTGATTGTGCTAATTAGAGTTAGATTGTAGTAATCAATTGCGCAGAAGCACTCGATCGAACTGCGCATGCAAACGCTAACTATTCTTTGTCTATTGTTGGTTTGCTCTCTCGTTAGAGACTGAAGGCTAATCTTTGTAGCCGTAAACACTTTCTAGTATTCACTGAGAAAGAGGGAACAGGATATTATTCATTTTCCTAAACGTACAAAATAGAGAGAGAAAGAAAGAAAGAAAGAGAGAGAGAGAGAGAGAGAGAAAAGTAAAGATGAAATATAAAATACTGTTAAAGCTGAAAGTCTAAAGCGAAATAAAACGATGTATTGTTGTTATACATATTATAAACATATATATTTAAATCAGATCAAGACTAACTCCATTAAAATTTGTGTTTAAAATAAATTCATTTACGCTTTACGCTTCAACATTCATGCAATTAGCAATAATTTTAACTTGATTTCTTGTGGCGTAGGATATTCACAATTCGTGTTAAAGTCAATTTCATATCAATTTTGGAAAATCGTAATAACTGCCTAAAAAAAAGACCACATAAAGATTTATCGTCATTGGTTTTTTTTGTCAGCGTATATTCGCTCTGTTGGGGTATTACAACGTCGATTCGTCTGTCTGTCTGTCTGTCTGCCTGTCTGCCCACTGTCCATGTATTCTCGTGTAAACTTACAGGTCGTAATTTTCGAGATATGTTTATGAAATTTCCCACACTGACGTACTTTGTCTGAAGAATGAACGCTACCGAAAATGGTTCGGAGTGGTCCACTTTTTCGACCACTCCCCATATAACGCCTTATTTTAAAAAATCGATATAAGACAAAATACTGTAATTTTTAGAATTTCTCGACAAAAATTATTTAGTAATAGTATTTCGGCATTCTAAATTGCTATGGAAAATTTTAATCGGATGTGGCAATTTTTTTGAAACCCTTCACATATGACTTTTCCGGGGAAAACTAAATTTTTATAGAGGCCTAATGGCCCAATTTTCAATTATTCTTGATGAAAATTCGTTTATAATAACAATTTAATGTACAAGTTCACTTTACCGAATTAGGACCAGATAGGTCAATTTTTTTTGATCCCATGGTGAAAATTGATTCATAATACAAAATTGACAAAGAAATCAAACTTACCGAATTTGGTCCAAGTAAATGAAATAGATGTTGCTTGTAAGGATTCTTTGGATGTACAAGCCTTTATATGCCAGCAAGTTGTCTTTGTTAATGATCCGTGATGAAAATTTGTTCATGATGGTTATTTGACATAAAAATCAAGCGGACCAAATTTGAACCACATGCATCTAATTCTTGGATACCATTCCATATTAGATATATAGGGATTATTATAAAAGCAAGCCTTTATATGGAGAGAAAGTGTAATTTCACCTTTTTTTATGATCTAAGGTGAGAAATAATAAAATTGCTAACAAGTAAATTAACGATCGCGCCGTGGGATGTTTTCGTGGCTTTCATAAAAACTATACCTTTCAATGAAGTTAACGTGTATTATCGAGTGACGAGTGAATAATTGTATTAGTCGAAGTGATGTAGGGCATCTTATAATCGGCCTAGCTCGACTATACGTTTAATTTCAATATAGGCATACGTAAGAATTCATTTCGAATGATAAAAATATCAATCTTTACAGACTTTTACTGATTTGATCGTTGAACGGCAGAACTATTACTTTGTGGCTGGTCAAGTTAAACGTTGAGAAACCCTTATATTGTTCTACGAATTAATCGAGTGACATGTTATATTAATCCAATTAGAAAAATTCACCCTAAATGCGTAAATACAGATGTTTCACATTCTTGCAATTTTTGTGGTGGTTGTTGCTTTCAATAACTTTAAAGCTATTGCAATTATTATTAGTTTGTGTGTTTTCAAAAATGTAAATATTAAAAAAAAAAAAAAATAGAAGTCATGTCATTCCAATAGTAGAATAATAATCTGTTATGTGAAAAAGATGATATCTCTAAGCAAGCTCGAGATTTCATACATCGTCATCAATACCATTACTATCATCGTCATCCCTTACATTTTTTAATCCATTCACCTCATCATTTAAATAGAGAAATGAAGCACTTTCTAAATTCATTTATTTATAATTTCGGCTTAAATATTAAATATACAACTGCTTACTGATGGTTATATTCATTTTAATAAAAAAAAAAATATAAAAAAAAGTTTTCCTTTCCCCCCTTATATTATAATAAGAAATTTAAAACAACAAAAAAAAAAAAAAAAAAAAGAAAAAAAAGCAAGCAATTCCTTTCAATGCAATTTCCAAAAATTTTAGTTATTCTCCTTGTTTTGTTTTGCTACAAAAACTGCCATTAGACATCCCGGAAAATGTGCAAGTGTTCAGGCAATCTCAGTATGTAATGTGGTTAGATTTGTTTATATATGAATTCACGTTGCATGTGGAGATTACCTGATACTGCATTCAAATCTACACTAATGTTGTTGTTATGTTTTCTTTTTTTTTAAGTTTTCATATATATATATATATATATGTATATATATATGTATATATATACATTATGTATTACATTATTACATATATATATATCTATATATATATATACATATATATATTATATTATATATATACATATATATATTATATTATATATATATATTATGTATATATTATGTATTACATATTATGTATATTATGTATTATATATTATATATTATATATATATGTACAATTTTCTTTTAAATTTATTTAAATTATATTTTCATTTAATCAATTAATTATTGTTGTGTTGTCTATTTAAAATAACGTTCGTTTCTTTTCTCTGAAACCGTACGCTGAAGCATGTTTCAATTTTGTTATCATTTTGTTAAATTATATTTCCAAAAAAACAAAAAAATAACTTTTTGTGCTTGTATATATATATATATATATATATATATATATATATATATATAATATAATATGTAATACATAATATATATAATATATATATATGTATATATATATATGTATATTTATGTGAATAATGAATGCTGATGAAATTGTGAAAGAATTTTTTTTTGAATGCATTTTACTGGCAGAGTATTACTTAGGTACTGGTGTGACTTTGTAAGAAAATTTTCTTTCGAGAATAACAACAGCCAGTACTTATGTCATACTGTCCCAGTTTGAAATGCTCTGGCAACAGTCAATAAATCCGCATGAACCGAACAATAATTAAATAACAATGAAGACCAAAAAATAATTGCATAAATAAATCACGTGTAACGTTAAGTGAATGAGAATAACCAAAAATATATATGCAATATATATATATATATATATATATATATATACGTTTTTGCCAATTTTAATTACTCTCTAAAAATGCGATATTTATTGTCTACACAAAAGCTAACTCCTTCTATATATTTAGAAAATAAATTTTTTATTTATTTATAATATAGTCGATGCGTTAAAACAACATACTGCTAAACTGGAAGAAAAGCTTTCCAGCACCGAATCTAGTCAAACGGATAAAATTGAAAAAAGTCTTATTAAGAGTTTGTTTATTGGTTACGTGGTTAGCGGTAATCCTAACGATAAACATCAGATATTACGTATGATAGCTTCACTTCTAGGGTTTACACAAAATGAAACCGATAAAGTTGGTCTTAATAAACAGACCAGCGGTTGGTTGGGCTCAATATTAGGCGGCGGTACTGGTGGCGGTGGAGGTGGAGGTGGAGGTGGAGGTGGAGCAGCAGTAGGAGTAGGAGTAGGAGGAGGAGGAGGAGGAGGAGGAGGAGGAGGTAAAATTTAATAATATGTTTAAAATTTAAATAAAAATTAATTATTACTTGCTTTTCTTTCTTTTATTTAATAATTTTTGTTATAAAACCTTTAGCGTCGCATTCTAAGGAGAATTTAATGCAGGCTTTCGTTCAATTCTTGGAACAGGAATCCCGTCCCAAGATGAATGTCCAACAAATGCCTAATTTACTAAATATTACAACATCGTCATCATCGCGTCGTACATCGTCGTCTAGTAATCCGGGTTCTGCAATAAATACTTCGCCTACTTCGGTATCTTCGCCAGCTCCTGTACCTATACAACCTTCGCTTTTGAATTCTAATGTAATTGATGACTTCACGCCTACTCGCAACTCTAGTTCAATATTAAAAGATATTTTAAGTGATTCTTGATTATATTAATATACATTATATATAAATATATATATTTTTTTCTTTTTTTCCAATGTATTTCGCACGCATACTTCATCCATATTATGTATGAGTGTTTTGTTTTTGTAAATATTTTAAGATAATCTGTTTGTACACATGTTTTTTTTTTCATATTTTATCTATGATTACTTTACATAATTAATATAAATAAAAAAAACTAGCAAGACGAAAAAGAAAAAGAAAATAAGCTACAACTAACTATCTCCAGAGACATTTGATTTCTGAAGATGACGCGTAATCGATAAATTCGGATCCTTCTTATTTAGCAGCAATATTTTCTTTATACCTTCTTTATACTTTGTTTTGCTTTATTGGCCTAGGAAGATTATCGATTGTGTAAATATAAGTAATTAAATAAATAAATTGAATTTATGCACAGAGCGTTTGCCGGGACGATTATAATCACAAAATTTCTTATTATTGTTTCTCACCTAAAAGATCTTTACTGAAACATAAATGGAATGGCTGGATATTAGTTAGAGCCACTGCAAGGTGGCATACTAGGCTTATCAAATACTGATAAGGCTGTATTCATCTTGCGAAAATGTTTGCAGTACTCATAAGAATACCACAGAGACCTTGAATTCTGGATCTATCTATGTATGTCTGTCCCTTCGTTTGTGCAATGTTTAATGTAAAAATTTTTCTGGTTGCAATAATTAAGATGTCGATTTAAAATTTGCAAGACTATTGCACGACGACTCATATACAAAATGGGTCCACTTTGTTAAAGGGTGCGCTGACAGTAAGTTATAAATCTCGAACACCTTTGCGAATGCGCATAATCTGTGGGCGACTTTACAGTATAGGACAGTACAATGTACACAGGTCGTAAAAACCGCCCACCCCTCGTCCATGCCATAGAAAATAAAAATTGCGTTTTATGTTCGAGTTACTTCGACTTAAAAAAAAAAAAAAAAAAGAAAAAAATTAGAGTTTCGATGCGGTTTTTCTCGTGTCAATTGAATGAAATTGAATGGTCGGGATTTTGATTTTCGAATACGATTTACCCTAAGGTAAATTATATATATATAAATATATCCTCGATTAGCAATGAATTTTAAGCCGATTTAAGCATGTCCCTCTGTCTGTGTTATGCCGAAAAGAAGCAATCTGCCTCAAATTTGGCAAAAGCAATGGAAATTCTTGACAGGTTGCTATTGAAACTGGGCCAAATCGGTCAAATCGTTGCTCATAAAGCACAACAGATATAACGATAAGGAAGGATTAGCATTTATATTCGATGGGTGGTCTGGCAGCACTTGTATAAAAATGTTAAAAATCTGTCACACCTACTCACTATTGTAGAATATTAAATTTCCCTTATTTTGCCAAACCGTGTGCAGTATCTAGAAAGAAGCTTCGGAGACCCTATAAAGCTTACATATTATTGATCAGCTTTAAATACGAATCAGTTTAGTACATGCTTGTCAACCGGTCTGCCCGTCTGCCTGTCAATTGGTGCGCTAAACGTACTCATGGTCACAGAAATCGAGACACACGATATAAATTTTGACTTTTATTTTAGAAAAGTTGCAAAAATTAGCTACGCCCATCCAATATTGTAGTGTATTGTAGTTTTTCTCCTTTCCTTTTTAATCTCTTAGAATAACGATAAGAAAAAGGTTTCACAGATTTGCTCGCAGTGGGATATAATTATTTTATTAGTTTTATTTAGGCTATAATTCCGTTAGATAATTGAAAGAAACTTACCCTTCAACTCAAGTAATTGATAATTTCTTAGGGCTTAGCAGTTATGTACTTACTTCACAAATGCTTTTCGATTAAAACAAACACAAAACATTATTTTTAAGGACATTCATTATTTAGTTATACATGGACATATACACATATATATGTATATATATGTTGTATTTATGTTTTGACAATAGTTTCAAAGTACGAATACAAACAGTTGAAATATACTTTCATTGTTCATTGTTTTTTTTTTTTTTTTTTTTTTTTAACGCTAAATAGAAATATCAACATTTTGATTTATCTTCTATTTAAACTGTCGTTATGAAAATGTTATTTATATGTAATGCAAAAAAACTACTTAAATGGATTGATTCCGTGTGCTGTTGGTCGTCTATAGTCTTTCTATGATATTTCTTAAAGATTCTGCATTTGAAATACAATATGGTTTTGCATAAATTTTTGTTTTCAAATTAGCATATAAAAACAAAAAGAAAAAGAAGAAGGAAAAGAAAAGCAAACGAATCTTAATAATCTTTCTATCTTTCATTCCTTGTAATGTTTGTTTTATTCCTTTTCCTTTTCCATTTTCTTTTAATTTAATTTTTACATTGGTTTTGTCTGTTTGCATATATACTAAGTGTAACTTTCTCGATTCATTATGGCGTGACCGTGTAAAGTAAAATTAATTAATTTGACATACAAAACTAAATAACAATAAATAGATTTATTTTTATTTTATTTTTTATAACGTTCTTTTTTTTTTTTTTTTTTTTTTTCTCTTTGTTTTTGCTTTAATGCTATTTATAAAGCATAGCATCGTAAAAATATTTATATGGCTTAATTTAAAGTAACAGAGAACTGAAAAGCGTAAAGAATATAACAATAGTATTAGTTATATAAATAATAGAAAATATACTTAAATTATTTACAGCTGTTTTGTTGTTTGTTGTTGTCATTGTAAAATTACAAACATTTAGAAATTTTTTTTTAATATATAATATATAATAGAAGAGATTCTCTGACGTAAACAATCAATAACAACAAATGCACACTTGTGTCGTTAAAATTTAGAAAAAAGAACAATTCTTATTACATTCATTACACAGGTATACGAGTAAAAATTGGAATTTTTATATTTATATATAAAAATATTTTTAACATATTATAATTTATTTCCTCGCCTTTTCCCATTATAAGCCATTTTAGTCGATATAAAGTTTATCAAAACCTACGTAAATACTCACTTTCTTTAAATACATACGTAAATGTAACTATGTGTGTGTAGCTAATGTTTCCTTTTTTATACTCGGAAAAATCTATTCCTACGATGACAGAAAATGAAAAAACTTCTATTACATTTGAAAGCAACTTTTTGATACTTGCAAATAGCAGCAGGCAGATTAATTGGCTTAAGGCTCCTTCATGAGAAAACCAAATGTTGTCAAATTATTTTTTTCCTTTTGTCATAAAAAATTTGAATTTTTGAAATGGACAGATTTATTCGTTACGCCACTGTCGCGTATATGTGACACAGGCGTTTCTTACCACAGTCCGTCGCCTCATACTTTTGTCTATTTTGCCTTTTTCGAATGTTACATACATACACACGTACATAAGAACTGTGTGGATGTTTGGCAGCGAACGGGCTAAAGAATGAAATAACGTTGCTGTGTCCCAACTGCAATTTTTTGGCTAGGTATTGCATATAGAGTGATATTAACAGTGCTACTGTTTCGTTTGCTCTGTTTGAGGTTATGTCGTGAATACGCTTTTAATTGCCTTTGACAATTCACCTTGTCAAAAAATCGTAATATTTATTAAACCATTCTATGCGCTTCAACAGTATGCACCAGTTATCTAAAATTTGTCATAATACATTTCTTGCCAAAAGCATAGAATTATAAGAAATGAAGAGACGTCCCTGCAAAACCTTACACAATTGGTTATGACTCGATGTTATTAATTACGTGCAGTGTTTAGCAATTCTCTCGTTAAAAAACTGAACAATTGATAGGGTGTTACATGTGTTCATAAAGCAAGGTCAAGATCTTAGTTCACCTTTCGCCCGATATTCCGGCTCGTTTGTGTAGATCCAAGTCTCATCTCACATAATGCGTGCGCTCCATGACCGATCGATAATCAGATATCATCTCCTTACAGAGAAGAAATTGCTTTTGACACCAATCGACATATGAAACAATGCAGGCCTAAGACATCTTTTAAACTGTTGTTGACTGATCATTTTGAAATTCTGAAAACATCGGTAAGATCTCTAATTGTTAATCGCAGATTTTCGAGTACTGAATCTTTGATTTCTTTGACCTTCACCGCGGCCTCCACCGTTACAAAATTGGAAACAATACTTTTTGTGTCATAAAAAACCAAGCCCAGCTACAACACTAACGATGTTTACGATGTGGAATTTGGCATAGATGTCTGTCACAGTGCCAGCAATTTGTTCATCTTACTTTTGATCACAGTATTATGTAGATATTTATACCCGTTATCGAAGGATGAAGGTATAATCATTTTCGCAAGACATTTGCAATACCCAGCAGGAAGTTTCAAAGACTCTATGACAATACATATCCATGATACGTATTAAATTTTCAATCGATTTAAGCTTTCCGTTTGCGTTGAAAACCGGCCAGATCCGTTTGGTTCAAATTTGGTTCACTTAGTTTTTATGTGAAATCATTATCATAAACAAAATTTCGTTGTAAAACATTAACAATTAGACCTTTCTCGGCATATAAGGGTGTACATTTTTTGAAAACCCTTTTATGCGGTGATATCCAAACAGTGTCTCTTTTATTTATGTGGGCCAAATTCGGTAAGAATAATTTCTTTATCAATTTACTATTAGGAATCAATTTTCACCATGTAATATTGAAAATTAGACCGATTTACATATAAGGCCTTAGTTTTTATTGGAACTTTCATATCGATTGGGATTAAAAAAGTAAGCCTACCTGGTCCAAACTCGGTGAAGTTAACCTTGTCATCAAATTACACGAATTTAGAGTCATTTACTGAATCGATCGGTATAATAAAAGGTGGGCCTATTTTAAGGTCGTCTGGCTTTTACATATGTCCGCACAAAGTTAATACAGCCTGTGCCACAACGGGTGTAGGATATAAAAAGGAAAAAAAAAGACCTAAAAATGGGCAGGGTTAATTAGATATGATTTCTGTCGCGCCGTTTTTAACTTGCAATCTTTCTCTGTGAATTGTATAAATCTTCCGAGATGCTAATCTAGTGCTAAATTTACGATAAATTATGGGCGTGATTTGCCACAATAACTAAAAAACCGTACTTAACCAGAAGATAACAAAGCTTTTTTATGCATTTTCATCATCTACGCACTACTTATGGGGTATATCGATTTGAAAATTACCAAGGAACTATAATAAATAAGAAAATATTTTAGATGATGGGTGAATGTTCAAACTCCTAACAAACCTAACTCCTTGTTACTTATTGTATACTATTTTCTCCCTTTGATCTCATTTTATCTTTTATTTATTTATTTCTTCTAATGTAATGTTTTGTTTTTTTTTTTTTTTTTTTTTTTTTTGTTTCTTTTATACACCTATATATCGTTATTGTACCACATTTTACACGCAATCTAAGAAAGGTTTAATGCTTAATAGAAATTTAAATTAAAAAGTTTACCGATTATTATGGGTTTTTCATTTACTTTCGCGCCTATATATAAAGGGCATGAAGCAAATATGTGCGCGAATATATAATGATTACAGACACTTAAAAAAAGAAAACATTCATTTTTACAAAATTTTATTTTTAATTATTATACGGATAATTACTTTCACAAAGGTCCAGAAATCAATACTTAGTTCTCTTTGTCGAATTTTTCTGCCTTTGACTCACCATCACAGGATACAGGAGATGAAAGTTCCCTAAATTCTGTAAATTTCGATAATGCGTCAAATGATGTGAACGATACACACACACACATATATATATATATATAGGATTTATAACTCTCGATTGTGGCATTCATTTGATTGCCTGCACGCAACACAAGAAGTAATAATCGGCACAACTATTTCCCGGAGTTCCGCTTTATCGATTGGCTCGCGTCCTTAATTTTTGACATTCTAGTTTCGCGATGATGGTGGGTAACAAAGAGATTTATCGTAAAACGTATATGATTTGCTCTCTTTTGCTAATTTAATCCCTGACAGGCTTTCTTTATAAAAATTTTCTTGCTAGACTTTTAAACGTTTACATTATTTGTTGTCTTTTTAAAATACGCAACAATTTTTAGTAGTGCGTTTCTTAGATATTCTAATACAGACAGATTTTGTAAGTGCTTGGTATATGCGATTAAAAAAAAAAAAAAAACGAGAAAGAAATAACAAATTACAATCATTTTCCATTGCAGGAAAAATTATCTGGACTTTATGGTAGAAGTTCAATGTAGTTTCGTGAAATTAATTATATTAAAATCTTTATTCGGTCATCTTTGGGAAGAGGGGCGCTCGAACGTACTTAAAATGTTAAGTCCGTGTAAGGTAAATGTTCCCGTCCCTTCTTAGCTATGCTGTCAAAGTTTTTATATTTCCTTTTTTGTTGTTGTTGTTAGTTTTTAATATTTATTTATTTTTTTAAATTTTTTTTAACTTTTTTTTTTTTTAATAATAGGTACTGCGTAAAAAGTATAACTTTCAGGTAAACTTAAAGTACATACATAGGTACACTGTATGGCAAGCAGTGGATACTCAAAAAGGTTGGCTTTAAAAAGTGTGAGGTTAACTGTTGTTGTTGTTGTTGTTGTTGTTATACTATGTGATTTCTGGTCCATAACAATACAATAAATGTGCTTTTCTGGATAAATGCAATGAAACCTTGTTTGCCTTTCTCTAAAACTAAGATTGTTACTGGATTCTATTTCCTTTCCTATCGTCTCAGTCATTCATTTTGGAAAACATTTATACTTAATCACAATGGAGAGACTAATTTTTAACAAATTTTAGCCTTAATTTTAAATTTAAGCTTATTAAAAATTTTTCCGGTTTTTTTTTGTTTTTTTTTTGCTTTTCTTAATCCTTTGGCAAAATATATTAAACAAAAACAAGAACTTCTCTTTTTTGAGCGTCTTTAAAGAAAACTATCAACACATTTATTTGACGAATTCTGGTTGATGTGCTATTTTCATGTGTTTTAGTTGTTAACCCAATAAACCATTTTGTTTGTGGTTGAAATTTTCAACTAAGGAATTTCTATGCTCGTCGGTCTCTTCATCGTCGCCTAACAAATCGGGCTTTCTGAGCGTAAACAAATATACTTCCATATTATCTTTACCTTTAACATAGACACTGCCCCTAGGCTCAAATTGATACTTTGTGTCTAGAAAATTGAAACATTCTTTACCGATTTGTATACGATTCGCTACACCTGTCGAGTCCATACGTGAGGCGACATTAACTGCATCACCCCAAATGTCATAGTGAAGTTTACTGGTGCCTATGACGCCAGCCGTTACATCACCCACATTAAAGCCGATGCGTAAGATTAAATTAAATTCTAATAGATCTTTGTTGAATGCATCTACAACATCTTGCATTGCTATGGAGAATTCCATTAAAGCATGAATATGTTCGTTACTTTCACCCCGATAAGAGGGATCTAGGCCACTAGCGGCCATAAATGTTGAACCAATGGTTTTAATTTTTTCAACACATTTGAATTCGGGTCGTGATAGCAATTCATCGAAATCGCCTATCAATTCATTAAGAACACGTAAATACTCTTTGCCACCCAAATAACTTTCATCGTACATTTCGTTAAAGTTAACAATCGAGGCGAAAATGATAGCAACGTTATGATGATTTTCCGAATATTTGGCGGTATTTTTCAATTGTTCGGCAACATGTTTCGGTATAATATTATGTAATAGCATATCCGCTTGATTTTTCATATTTTGTACTCGGATTTTGTCTTGGTTGGCCACCGCGTTACCGTAAAAAGTCAGACGATAACCGATTTCAAATTCCCGATTCAAAAACCAAACAAGCACTAGAATTAAAAATAAATCCAAATAGATTTCAACATGATAGTCGTGGAACCATTTAATTTCCTCTATAAGAAATGTGGCAATTTCTCGTGATGTTATCGGTGTCTTAGTTGAATTCAAGATTGCAGATTCTTCAGTTGCATCGGAACGATTCGAATAGACTACCAGTTGAGATACAGCAATCGCGACGAAACAGAGAGCTGCCAAGAATGCCAATATGTTGCGCATCCAACAATTAAGTTGAGTGAAATTGCAAAAGTGCACTATGCAAACAAAGATAAGAAAGCCATAATGGTATTCAAAAGCTTCTAATTGATTTAAGTCAAGTAACAGGAAGTTTGCTATTATTAAAATGACCGGCATGGCCATAAGTACGGCCAGGCATATGTGCCAAGGATACCAGCTGGAGATGGATTCAAATAAACGATCGGCACACGATACGGAATTGTTAGCTTTGCTTCGTGCTTGTGCAGAATGTCGTCGACACATTTGTCGTGTAAATAGAAATAAAGCGAATGTTTGGATGGCTGTAAAACATGTGAAAAGCGAAACCCATAGACGAAAACTGGGCGTGACAGTGCTCGGAGTCATCAAAAAGAGAGAGATGGATATGCAAAGGTACACAGCGAGACCAACAAATATATCGATGTATGTGTTGTAGCGAGGTGTAGCCAACGTGGGTGGACCTTCTGTTTCATTTTCATTACCGAATCGATGAGCTTTAGAGCGAAAGTCTCTTTCCATTTGGCGGGATTTGAAGTAAAGGCTAAATTTCTTAAGCGGTGGTTTGACTAGATAACTTCGCTGAGACTTCGCATTGTCTCGTACGCATCTAATAAGTTGCAGATCAGATTGTTTGCGCAACTGCTGTAGACAAGCAGCTAAAGGATCGGCCACTTGCGGTGTTGGCTGAGGTATTGGAGGAAGAGGTACATGTGGCAATACAGCAGCTTCACCTAGATTAGATATACTCGATGTTGAGCTGGTAAAATACCCTGAAACTCGATGTTGACTTATAGTGGTGGTTTGATTGAGTGCATAAATTTGTTGTTGTATAGAGGATCTTCGTGAATTGCTCTTGATGCCCGAATCTTTTCGTGAAGTGGCTGATGGGCAAATGCTTAGACCATCAGGCCATATGCTTGAATTACGAGAATGCGTTGGTTGAAGAGGTGTAACTGTGTCTGGCACTGTTGTTGACTGATTGGCAGGTAAAGATTCAACGCGACTTGCATTGAGAGTAAAAGCTCTTTGTCTAGGTACTGGTGAAGATTCAGATGGTCCACTGTAGCCACATTTTGATCTAGAACTGCCGGAACGACCAAATGGCGAAATATCACTACGCGATTGACTTATGTATGAGCGTATGTCAATAACGTCATCAAACATAGAATATTGGCCTGGCGAGCAAGAGCTGTTATCAGGAGAACGGTTCGCATTTGCAATAGTTGTGCAGCCAACATTATGCGTTCCGGGTTTCTGCGGAATTTCTAGCATATTCGGATTCGGTTTGTTTATCTCTACTGCTGCCGGAAGTTGTTGATTATTGGGTTCAATAAATGCTACTGTCTCTTCGATATTATTGATCGGTTTCGTAGGAGAAGCATTCATAAGACTGATACTGACCTCTGGGTTATGAGACTTTTCTGCCGGTTTTGTTATATCTTCGAGCTTTTTAAGAAATTTAGGAACTTTCCAAACTTTTAGACGTATTTTAGGTCGTATGGGTGTAACGGCAGCATGAGATTTACTTGTGCCGTTACCAATAATAATGTCATCATTGATCGGTTCTTCGCCATCTATTTGCTCTTTATCTAAACTCTCCGGTAAACTTTTTGTGGTTATAATAATCTTTGGTCGTTCACGCATTACAATCACTGGTGGTACGCCTGAAACTGCAGGATGTGTAATACCCCGCTCTATATCAGGCTCTTTCGTTTGCGATTTTTTGCGTATTTTCATGCTTAGCGAAGTAAGTCTTGGCCTTAGAGAGAGTACCGGAGAAGGATTCAAAGAAGATGATAATTGGCCCACTGGGGATGCTGGAGGAACATTTGGCTGAATTACAGATATATTAGTAGCACTCTGCGATAAGGACATGGGTTGACCGGGTAAACCGGGCAAGAGCAAGTGGCTATTTGATGAATTGGCTTGTATACTGGGACTTATACTGTTCGCTCGCGATGCATCTTTTCGTCGACCTACCACAAAATAAGTACGATGTCCTGAAATTATAGAAATAATTTAGTCTTCTTAAAAATTATAAATCAATTAAAAGTACCGAAGACCTCTTCGCCTTCTTCTAAGAAGTACGCCTCTCCTAAAAAACTAGCAGTCTCTTCTGATATGTGAACCTGCTCTGGTTTGCCAGATGATTCCATTCTGCGATTAAAATATATTATATCTAGTTGATTTTAGGATGAAAAAATATTATGTGTATTTACTTATTGGCTAAGGTAACATCGTTACTCCAAACATCAAATTTGACCCGTCTAGTCCCTACAATACCACATAGCACTGTACCAGTATGAACTCCTACACGCATTTTCACACCTTCATGTCTTTGAGCATCAAAGCAACGCATAGCGTCTATCATTCCCAAGCCCATTTCAACGCAGCACACAGCATGATCAGGCCTTGGTTCTGGGCATCCAGATACACAATAATAACAATCGCCTAATGTTGAAATCTTCTCGCAGCCATTCAAGGTGCACAAGTCATCGAAACGTTCAAAGAGATCATTCAAAATTTCAACCAACTGCTCAGCAGTTTTAGTCGATGACATTCGGGTGAAGCCCACAATATCAGCGAAAAGAATGCTTACATTTTCCATGCTGTGCATATGAAATGGCCGAAACAGAGATTTGACGTCATTCGAGGCTCGAGGCTTCATATGCGATTCGCGCCTCAACGCACATTCATTACTACCATCAATTCCACCCTCATTTAATAGCATATCAGCCACTTTTGGAGGCATTACCGAATGGATCATTTTCTCTTTAAGTTGCTTTTCCATTTCCAGTTGACGGCGCACCAGTAGGTTTTGCCCAACTTTCATGAAGGTGCCGCGCATGCGCACTAAATTCATAATTAAAACGTGCAAACCCACCAAATGTACGCATAAATGGCATAAAATTCGTAATGTTAGTATTTTGTAACTGAATTCGGAGGCATGGCCATGAACAGCATGATTGGCTACTACCACGTGAGTAACAATCTCAAATAACACCGTATAAGTGACAGCAATTGAAGCACTCAGCCATAATTTCATAGGTAGAGCTGTGTAAATAAGTAAAACGATCTCTAAACATATGGCAAAATGACCCAAAGGACTGAAAGCTCTTTTAGTGCAGGTAAGAAAAATTAATGAGGCAGCACATAAAATGGCAGCTGTTGTAGCCGATGTGGCTACGTGATGAGCTCGATATATATCCCAATGAGTAAAACACATCGCCATAATGATAAATAGCGACAACAGGGAAAAGGAACTTGAGATAGGACGCCATAAAACCTCAGAACCACCATCTATCAGAAAATAAAGAAACCAAACTATCGAACATAGTAAAATGTAGTAAAGACTAAATCTGAAAAGATAAGGAAAAATTTCACCGAATTACACAATTGTCAATAATTGTATTTCAATAAATCGTTTCAATATATATGTATGCATAAAAGTGTGTTGAATAATCAATCTTTAGATGGCCTTTAGTGAATTCACTTTCATAATACATATATTTATATATATATATATATATATAGCTATATATATAGGTAAGTCAATGACGAATTGACAATTGAATTATTGGTACATTATGAAAGTTTTTAAGTGTAAGAAATAACGTTATTCGTAAGAATTCATTGTCAAAGGCATTTTTATTATGCCACAATTTGTGGCTGGAAGGAAACTTTTACTTACTTTCAAATAACTCAACAACTTTGACAATATAATTATGGCAATGGCTAAGTTAAACTGGCTGGCAGACGAGTAAATTGGTCGACTTGTGATTTTGATTTCTTTTATTGTAGCAGTAAACAGAAAATGTAAACAAAAAATATTCATATTTTATAGCATTCTGGAAGAAGAGATTCGGGATTTTGTTTAATGAAACATATGTTTATATATCCTCAATTCTTATATCGTAGGGCTTTCATTACCTTCACGTTAAACATTGGGATGTGTTATATGATATTTACATTTTATATGAAAATTTCATTTTTTTTTTTTTTTTTTTTTTGATTATTAATTATATTTATTTACCTATATCTCATGCGTATATGTGGAAAAACACTAGTTTTAAATTGTCCCTCTAGCACGGGCGAATCAAATTTCGGATCCAGCCATGAACTAGAGGCGGCTCGCTCAAATGCCACCGGTAACATGACGCTACAACAGGAATGACGGCGACCCGTTTGACTTAAATACGATTGTATGTGTGGTGCGAGAGCAATTTGTATGTCATCGGTGGAATTGGCACGGCTATCATCGGCTAAGACACCAGGTGGCATCGCCGTAAAACTAACTGATTGTCGGCGTAGCTATGAATGAAAGCAAAATGCATTTTATCAATATTAGTAAAATTCTTACATACAATATAAAATAATGATAATATGATAGATAGATAACATTATCATTTTCAGAAAAAAATTCGTAAACTAAAACCATCTCCATTCATTCTCTTGCCTATTGAAATTCTTACGATCGCTCGTACCGAGTTAGAATATTAAACATTTCAATTGTAAATTTGATGTTAACTATTAACAATAAAAGTATGATAAAGATTAAGTCTGCTTAAAACAACTAACAGATGTCAGATACACGAAAACCCGGAGCCACGGATATGAGTAAAGCTTATGTTGGTAAAATGGATTTGGTCTTGCATACATCATATCAGACAAATAGCATATTTTTCGTCCTTTTTGCTTCCCGGCGGCGAAAGCCCCATCTAGTAAAAATTCAGCTGCAATAGAAGCCCAAGGTTTAAAAAACAGGTCTGTGAGTTATTAAGGGGGGCCAGAGAAGTTCGTAGTTCGAGTTGTGAGTGTGAGTTGTTGCCGGATGTAAGCTGGGTTGATATCTTTTCCTTATGCATTAAAAATCCAAGTGGGTATTAGCTGGACCCACACTTCGCCCAGGAAGTGTGGATAATTTAAAAGTTAGAGTATATCCGTAACTCTGACACGCTTAGTGCCGGGAACCCTAAGGCACTATAAGAAAAGACTATGCGATCCACAGGCATCAGCCTGCCCACTCACTTTAATACCACATGTGTTTTGTCATTATTAAGCAGGAGCGGTAGTGTTGGAAGACACTCCGGTGGACACACCACGTGAGGCCTGACTGCTGAGTGCCGCCATTCGGGGGGTAGTCGCGGCTGCGTGGCATTAAATAATTAGAGATGCATGATAGGCCCCGGCTTGCCAAGTGGGGAGATCGTCTTGGTATAAGCGCTCTCACTTGCCGGATTGTCTTGCACGCTGGAGGGTACGGGAAATCACTCGTAAATTACTTAATGGATCTGCAGACCTGGTCTGATTAAGCTTTCAAGGCAATTGCGGACGTTAAGCGTACAGACCCTCTTCTTTTTGCAAATGGTATTGGAAAAGTAAGACATTTCCAAACTTTGGTAATGATTGTCAAACTATTGAATCTACATAAAATTCTGTATTTTCGTTTTTTCGAAACTGTTATTGAGGTTATTTGAGACCTCATTTAGACCAAGTGTAACAGCAGTGATTCAAGACGAATGTTCGGTATCTAAGCCGAACATAAATTTTTTTTATTAAGATGTTTGATGCTTATGCAGCACGTTTGGCTTTATTCAATTTTTCTTACAATTTCCTTATCATCAATGAATGAAACTTATATCGATTGAAGTAATTATGTAAAAGAAAAGAAAATAAATAAAACAAGAAATGCAATACCATTAACAAAGTTGTTAGAAAATTTAAGCTATACAATTTTTATACGGCTTGAAAAATAGTAATAAAGGGGCCTAACGGAAATCCAATTTTGCATAGGAGGCAAAAAGGGCATTTTTTCATTAGTAGAAAATGTCTATCACAAAAATTGTGTGGTTCCTCACAGAATGTAGTTAAAAAAAAAAATTAAAGTTACTTCAGTTATGCTGCGTGCCCTTTTTAAATGTATGAGAAACATGTTCTCTTATCATGAATAATTTGTTGTCTTTTATTTCCGTTATTAGGCAATTCCAGGATCATAAAACTATCCTTTCAAGTTCAAATATTACTTTTCGTTCCGTTTCCTCGATAATTCTTGGGTCGGCAATGCTTCTTTTCCTGCATCTGTCAGAGACAGAATCTCACGTTTCACAGTTTATATGTTGCAAAAAGGCAGAAAAAAGCCCAAAAACTTAGTTCCAAACTTTTCATATTTTAGTAAAAGCAATCAAAGCTTCATGTCTACTTGAAGGTTAACTTGACGAAGCTACACTACATGGGTATAGAAATGCTTTTGATTGCATATAAATACTTTCTAAACGTCTACTTCCGCTGGCGCACTAGAGAAGGTGGCACTCAAACTGGCAAGACATCAAGGTTCAATGTTCCAGCTGCAAATATTCCTGTTGAAGCGTATGAGAGATAACTCAAAATTTTCAAAGAACAATTATTTTGCGGAAAGTGAATTTGTTCCTGCCTACTTTAAACACAAATTGCAGTGCTTTGTCCTCTTATGCCAGACTTTCGCGCCTAAAAGATATGTAGTAATATAATTTGTGACGGAATTTTGAGAGACTTTGGTTCACTCCGTTTATACATCCGTACACGTTACGCCTTTAAAAAACTAAAGTTTTATGAAAAATATTTACTGACTTTAATAATATTGCTTAGATGTTGACCTGTTGGCATAGTTTTTGTCTAACCATCAGTGATTTGCTATTTTCCTCTTGTTCGTATGTCTGTACATGGTGAAAGTTATTTTTCAATTTTAATAATAAACACATATACATTTGATTTTGTGCAACTGTTCCTTGTCGCTATGCAATGTGCTCGAAGAGAGGGCTGATGTCTACTGCTTACTACGTCTTTCTGTTTATGGCACATAGACGAACGTACTCTGTGGTAGAGGTAATCGTAGAGACTACCGTGGCAGGATTTTTTACCGATTGCTTTTAGCCAGTGCCAACTGCGGCCGGTTTCAGTTGGGCTGTCGCATGACCAGATAGGTAAGCGATACGGTAACCAAATCGCTGGTCGCGGACCCAAATATCAGTGCGGCTTAACCGTACTTGGGCGTAGAGCGCATTGTAACTGGCAATGCAAGGTGGATCTATTACGACACGCCCAACTGCAATAAGTCATGGGTTAGTCCGGACGAACCGTCCACATCGACACAAAAGCGGAATCTTAATCGCCATAAAGTTTTGCTCTGCAAATGGTGGGATCAGCAATATGTAGTATATTGCGGGCTGGTAAAACTGATTGAATTTGTTACTGCAGATGTCTTCCGACGTCAATTGAACAAATTGAACGGTGTATTGTAGCAAAACAGTCCAGCAACAGTCGCTAACAGGCACAAAGTCATCGTCTTACATAAGAACGCTCGCCCACACGTTGCACAGGTTGTTTTTCATGTGAACAAATAATCAAAATACATGTAAGCAGTAAGTATATATATATATATATATATACTAACGTTTGCAATAGGTTGTAATTTACAGCTTTTGCATCCTAGATCTAACCTTTCATCTACTACTTCTAGGCCACCAATTAAAAATAAAAATTTATGGAATCTTGGAGGAACATTGCAGAATGCCACAAACGATAGGTATAATCATCTGCCCCCTTCTCGAGACAATTGATAAGCAACGGGATGAAATGAATGTAAAAGTAGTTCTCCTCTTCTATGTCTAAGAAGAAAATAAGCAATTCGCAGATACGTCTTACCTAAATCTCACCTTTATGGTCCGCCCTACAATTAAGTAAAGGTAAATGCAAATATGTATAATCTCAGTCGATGGATGGATGGTATATGTGACCAAGATTAACGTTTTTGTATTAAATTATTTCTACTTCTGTTTTTATATGGCACTCATACGCCACATGATATTATATATAGCTATAAAAGTCTATGTTTCGTTTTCTATCAACAGGCTTGCAATATAACTTGAGTTCAATTAACGAGTAAAAAGAGGAAGAGAGAGAGAGAGAGAGAGAGCTGTATACTTAAAATTCGTCATCATAGTCATCATAGTCTTTCTCGCTTGAGTTTTAATTGCCATCTTCCCATTTATTTTTCAATTAATTACGAACATGTTTTCTTCGGTAATTTGCTTTCATTTTCTTCTTATCATTGTCTTTGGTCGTAAGAGGAAATAAGCGTGAAATCTAACTAAACCAAATTAAACTAATATTAAACCCTTTTCAGCACCGCAACACCCGGAGGACAACTGAAGCTAAGGGACATAAAGAAAAAAGAAAATAAATATATATATATATATATATATATATATATAGATAATTATTATACGCACTGACCTTATGATTTTTAGTCCTAGAACTTTTAAACTCTATTATGCGTACTGTAATAATGTTCTTATATAATTTTCTCAAACTATTCTAATTTTCGTTGTTGTTGTTGTTGTTGTTATCATTTAAAAATATGCACACACGTGTAGTAATGAGCCTGTCAAGAGTAGCCTTCAAATCAACGAAACTAATTGCCACAATAACTAACAAACTTGCCAGAGAGAAAATGTAAAAAAATAACAGAATGAATGAACGAACAGGCCATCAGGCAAGAGCCAACAAATATAAAAGAAAAAAAAAAAAGCGAAAATAAAAATGAAAAAAGTTCATAGCAGTAGCGCTATATAACGTAACGTAAACACAATGTATTCTCTCTGTAAGCTCTATAGTACATTACACAGACTCTACATATTATATAATATATTACATACACTTAATATACTTGCATGTACATGTATATACAAATACAGGCAAACTGGGTCAATGTGAAAACTTGGTAACATATATCTGTATATACATGTATATGAATACACACAAGTATACACGGTTGCAAACGCACACAAAAACATAAACACGTAGCAACGCGTACACCCATACATACATAAGCGAATTCACGTGTGCACCAAATAATAGTCGTAAAATAAATGATATTGACGGTAGTCTTATGGCTGGTTTGTCAGTAGAGGCATTAAAACACAATCTATTTGTTTAAACGCTGATAACTTCTGGCTCTGGGACTTTAACTTTTAGACATGAAATATATATACATGTGTATGCATATATGTTTGCGTGTTTGTCTGTATGCGTGTGTGTGCGTGCGTGCGTGTGTGTGCATGTGTTTGGGTTCGTGTTTGTGGGATAAGTGTGCACACAAATATTTAGGCAAAAAATTGTTGTCATTTTAACTGTCATGGAAATGAAGTTGTTGTCTACATGAAACAAACGCACGCATATAAATGTTTTATTTGCGATTGCACTGCACATTGAACTCTTGTTGAGCATATTCATTCCTATGAATATATATTATAATATAAGCACAAGTGACCATG